TCCTCTGTTCCTCTGTTCCTCTGTTCCTCTGTTCCTCTGTTCCTCTGTTCCTCTGTTCCTCTGTTCCTCTGTTCCTCTGTTCCTCTGTTCCTCTGTTCCTCTGTTCCTCTGTTCCTCTGTTCCTCTGTTCCTCTGTTCCTCTGTTCCTCTGTTCCTCTGTTCCTCTGTTCCTCTGTTCCTCTGTTCCTCTGTTCCTCTGTTCCTCTGTTCCTCTGTTCCTCTGTTCCTCTGTTCCTCTGTTCCTCTGTTCCTCTGTTCCTCTGTTCCTCTGTTCCTCTGTTCCTCTGTTCCTCTGTTCCTCTGTTCCTCTGTTCCTCTGTTCCTCTGTTCCTCTGTTCCTCTGTTCCTCTGTTCCTCTGTTCCGTCTCTTCTTCTCTTCGCCACACCGTTGCTCTTCTGCAGGTGCCCAGGCCTCCTCACTCCCGCTCATCCTCTTCTCCCATCTGCCGCTCCACTCGCCCACCAACCTCTCCTGTGCTGCCAACGCACAAGGCCAAGTGGTGAGAATGGGCATCAGGGACATGTGTGTGTACGTGACTGCTTCATTTCTCCACCATCCACCTTCCTTCACTTCTTCTCCTACCCCATCTGCCTCTTCGCCCACCTGCCACTCCGCTCGCCCACCAACTCTCCCCTATACCACCAACGCACAAGGCCAAGCAGAGTGGTGAGCTGAACATGCTTCGGGGGCATGTGTGTTCCTTGGGAGGCGCAAGTGAAAATAACTTGTCTGCATATGCTTTTGAGAATTCTAGCATGCCTGCAGAGATGTTATTTGAGTCGATCCAAAATTCACCTTTGAGTCGTTGCTTGTGAAATAAAATCAAAAGTGATTTCTGAGCTCTTACTATCCTTGTCCACTTCGGCCATCCCAACTAAAAAACCAAGTAGCCAACCCCTGCGACCGTGTCTGCTATTATCCTAACCCTAAGTGCGCCGTCCCACAACAACCCCCTCCCTCCTGTTTGCCGTTGCTCTTCTCTCTCTGCAGGACTGGGATAACGATGGGGGGAGGTTAGGTGAGCCTCTCTCTCATCTCGCTCTCTTACACACACTCGCACTGACACCCACCCACTCGCTCACTCACACTCCCGCTCTTCTTCCTCACTCGCTATAACCTGCTGCGTACACGTTGCCGTTCCTCTTCTCTTCTCCCTTCCCTGCACCCATGCGGTCTTCCCTCTCCCCCCTCCTCCCAGGTATCAGGATGCCATATCCAAGGAGGGCTCTAACCACCTGCTGCAGCTGACGCTTGGGTCAACTCAAATGTTGCCTCTCTGCCTCACTGTGCCCCCCTCTTTCCTTGTCCCCCCCTCTCTCCCCCTCCTCCCAGGTATCAGGATGCCATATCCAAGGAGGGCTCTAACCACCTGCTGCAGCTGCTAAGACCGGTAGGTGCATTTGCATGCACATGTGCATGTGCATTTGCATGCACATGTGCATGTGCATGTGCATGTGCGTCAGAATTCCATAAGGATGATGACATTGTTTCTTTCTTTCTTTCTTTCTTTCTTTTCTTCTTCTTCTTTCTTCTTCTTCTTCTTCTTTTCTTCCTTCTTCTTTCTGCCTCACTTCTTCCTCCTCCTCCTCTCCTCCTCCGAATCCTACTATCCTCCTCTCCCTCCTCCTCTCCTCCTCCTCTCTCCTACTCCTCCTCCTCCTCCTCCCTCCTCCTCCTCCTCTCCTCCTCCTCCTCCTCTCCTCCTCCTCTTCTTCTTCTTCTTCTTCTTCTTCTTCTTCTTCTTCTTCTTCTTCTTCTTCTTCTTCTTCTTCTTCTTCTTCTTCTTCTTTCTTTTTTTTTTTCTGTAATGTTCTTTTTTTATGGGCGCTTGGAGTGGTACGTGCATGTAACAGGAGGATGGGTACAGGCCTCATCACGCTCCCTCTCCTCACACCCCTCTTTCCTGACGCCGCACTCACAGGCTCTGGTAGTATCAGGGCATGCAGAGGCCACCTGCTGGCAGCAGCGGCAGGTGCAAGGGACCCCCAGAGGGAACAGCAGCTCGGGAGGCGCTGCTGCTTGGGACGTGATCGAGGTGCGTTTGGGGTAAGGGTGTGGTGGGTTGGGAGGTGGGAAACAGCAGCTTGAGTGTCAGGGCACGCGGAGGCCACCTGCTGGCAGCAACGGCAGGTGCAAGGGACCCCCAGAGGGAACAGCAGTGCTGGTGGCCATGACTTGGGGACGTCATTGAGGTGGGTTGAAGAGAAGGGGTGGGGTAGGGGGACTGACATGGAACGCAGCTTGGATGTCAGGGCATGCAGAGGTTACCTATTTACTGGCAGTAGCGGCAGGTGCAAGGGACGTCTAGAGGGAACAGCAGCCTCGCAGCAGTAGAAGCAGCAGCAGCAGTAGCAGTAGCAGCAGTAGCAACCAGCAGCAGTAGAGGCAGCAGCAGCAGAAGCAGCAGCAGCAGCAGCAGGACAACCAGCAGCACAACCAGCAGCAGTAGAGGCAGCATCAGCAGAAGCAGCAGCAGCAGCAGCAGCAGCAGCAGCACAACCAGCAGCACAACCAGCAGCAGTAGAGGCAGCAGCAGCAGAAGCAGCAGCAGCAGCAGCAGCACCACCAGCAGCACCACCAGCAGCAGTAGAGGCAGCAGCAGCAGAAGCAGCAGCAGCAGCAGCAGCACCACCAGCAGCACCACCAGCAGCAGCAGAAGCAGCAGCAGCAGAAGCAGCAGCAGCAGCAGCAGCACCACCAGCAGCAGTAGAGGCAGCAGCAGCAGAAGCAGCAGCAGCAGCAGCAGCACCACCAGCAGCAGTAGAGGCAGCAGCAGCAGAAGCAGCAGCAGCAGCAGCAGCACCACCAGCAGCACCACCAGCAGCAGCAGAAGCAGCAGCAGCAGAAGCAGCAGCAGCAGCAGCAGCACCACCAGCAGCACCACCAGCAGCAGTAGAGGCAGCAGCAGCAGAAGCAGCAGCAGCAGCAACAGCAGCACCAGCAGCAGCAGCACCAGCAGCAGTAGAGGCAGCAGCAGCAGAAGCAGCAGCAGCAGCAGCAGCACCACCAGCAGCACCACCAGCAGCAGTAGAGGCAGCAGCAGCAGAAGCAGCAGCAGCAGCAGCAGCACCACCAGCAGCACCACCAGCAGCAGTAGAGGCAGCAGCAGCAGAAGCAGCAGCAGCAGCAGCAGCACCACCAGCAGCACCACCAGCAGCAGTAGAGGCAGCAGCAGCAGAACCAGCAGCTTTGCCTATGTGTCCGAATCTGACAGTTCAGATCTTTAATCCCAAAGTCCGTGCGTATGTGTTCTCCCCTCCCTCTCCCTTGTGAGTGTCTGCAGCTGTCGCTCCCAACCTTCAACTTAGTCCACAGCACACACACCATCACAGACCCGCCTGCCTGTGTGTGTCTCAGCGCTTACCAACCGCCTTGTTCCCCTCCTTTTCCCAATCACTCCTCCCTGCTGCTCATGTGTGCCTGCAGCTCTCGCTCCCAACCTTCAACTTCGTCCACAGCACACACGCCATCGCGGATCCACCTGCTTTCCTGCTCATCACCGCTCCCCTGGACCACCACTCCCATGGAAACTACAAGCAGCAGCAGAAACCAACGCTGGGGGCAGCGTCAGTGCACGTGCAGCTGTGTGTGCTGCCAACGCAGATCCTCTTCCCCCCATGGTAAGGTCGAGCTACTTGTAAGACCCCTAAAAAGCGATGTTGCGGGCAGCATCAGTGCACGTGCAGCTGTGTGTGCTGCCCACACAGATCCTCCTCCATGGTAAGATCACGCTACTTTTGCTGCTTTTTTCCCATGGGTACAATGATTCTCTGAACTTTTAGGAGCATCAGAACCGGCAGAGCCACCAGCACAGCAATCAGTAGCACAGCCTGCAGCATGAGGCGACGTTGGGGGTAATATTAGTGCACGTGCAGTTGTGTGTGTTGCCCATGCACATTCTCTCTCTCCTCTCTTGCCTCGCTGCCCTCATGAGGCGTCTCCTGGGCGTCCCACCGTCCAATGCTCTGCCTCCTCTTCCCCTTCCCCACCTATCCACACCCACCCTCCCCTCCCTCCAGGTATTTTCTCCTCTCGCTGCTCTCCTGCCTCGCCTTCCTCCTGCTGCCCTCACGAGGCGTCTCCTGGGCATCCCTGGCAGTGCTGGCGGCACGCTTGGCAGCAGCGAGCAGAGAGGCGTGGACACTGCCCAAGCTCAAGGCACCTTTTGATGATGCTGGCAGCAACATGGTTTCCCTCCGTCTCCCCACCCCCTCAACAACCCCCCACCTCCCACTCTCCACGTACCACCCTCCCCTTCCCCCCCAGGTACTTCCTCCTTACACTTCTCTCCTGCCTCGCCTTCCTCCTGCTGCCCTCACGAGGCGTCTCCTGGGCATCCCTGGCAGTGCTGGCGGCACGCGTGGCAGCAGCGAGCAGAGAGGCGTGGACACTGCCCAAGCTCAAGGCGGATGGGGATGAAGAAGGCGAGCTGGAGCCCATGTTTGACACGGATGGGAACATGGTGCTTGTAAGGAGGGCCACTCCCAGGCTCCCTGACACCATGCCCTCTTCAGTCACGTCAGACAGAAGGTGGGTTTCCAGCCTTGTCAACCACGTCCGGTAAAAGGTGGAAGGGACGGGGATGAAGAAGGCGAGGTGGAGCCCATGTTTGACACGGATGGCAACATGGTGCTTGTCAGGAGGGCCACTCCGAGACTCCCTGACACCATGCCCTCTTCAATCACATCGGACAGGAGGTAAGCTTGCGTGAGGCGTGGACACTGCCCAAGCTGAAAGCAGACGGGGATGAAGAAGGCGAATTGGAGCCCATGTTTGACACGGATGGCAACATGGTGTGGTGCTTGTAAGGAGGGCCACTCCCAGGCTGCCTGACACCATGCCCACTTCAATCACGTCTGACAGGAGGTGAGCTTTGGCAGCGTTTGCTTGCTCTGAGGTGTCTGCGCTTCAAAACTCGAGGCGATGTTTTCGAGAATTCTCAAAAATCACTTGCCAAAAGCTCAAGGCGGACGGGGAGGCGGATGGGGATGAAGGAGGCGAGGTGGAGCCCATGTTTGACACGGATGGCAACATGGTGCTTGTAAGGAGGGCCACTCCGAGACTGCCTGATACCATGCGCTCTTCAGTCACGTCTGATAGAATTTGAGTTTCCCTGTCTCTTCAGGTGCTACCAGGGGCTACCAGGTGCAGTCTGTGAAGACCTTTTTACGCCTCTGTGCTTGCATGACCATTAACTGACTTCCATGCATCTTGTCTCCGCTTGATTCCAATTTCAGACCCGGCGGAGCACAGCTAAGGGCCTCCCGGCAACAGGGGTCCCATGATTCGCTAATGGACGCTGGTGGCAGTTCTGGCGTTCCTCGGATTGGATCATTCACAGACGTTTCAAGAGACGGTGCTACGGCATCTGGAGGTGGTGGTGGCGAGTCAGGAGGTGATGGGTTAATGGCAACGATTGCCAAGGGGGCGAATCTTACGCCCAAGATAGCTTTTCTTCGCTTGCTACGAGCAATCGGGCCGCTTACGCTGCTAGTGGGCAGTCAGCTTGCCTTGTATTTGGGGCTTCTCGCTAAGGACTGGAGCTAGGTTTGGGTTGCTGCGTGCAGTTTATGTGAGTGCATGAAATGGTAATATGAACCAGGCAGTCAGCTCAAAAACCTATTTGTTCACATATGTGTTATCATGCTGGTGTATACGCTTATTTACGCAGTGACTGAATTCTTCACTTGTACCACGCGTATCGGACTGCGGATATCAAACTCACATACCATTGGTTAGCTCGTTCACGTAACATCTGACGTGGTTAGCGTCAGATCCATGCTTCAGGCGACATGGTGATGTCATCAGTAGCAAAAGAGTGACGCAGTCAGGTTCAGACAAACCTCCCGTAGTTACCAGACCTAACGTAGTGTTCGCGACCTCTTCGCAGATTCTTGGCGACATCTCATTGGCCTGAAACGGCTTCCCGAAAAGGGAACGTTTGCTATGGTTTCGTCAAACCAACCGCAGGGAGCTTCGTTCGGTTCGGACAGAAGTCCTACCGCATCCCATCCCAGCTGATCTATTCTCGAAATTCACGATGCATTTCTTAGATTATTGTCTTGTGCTCAGCTTTCCTGTCGCGAGACACGAGCCGTCGTCCCGCGTTGCGTTGCTCCTGGTGGCTTCTCCTTCAACAATAGGCCAGCGACGCGCGCTGCTCGTGCCCGTGGCTTGCGCGAGACCAGAGCCTAGAATCTACGTGCTGCTACGTACCCCTATTAGTAGCATAACCAGTTACCATCAACTTCCATGACCCTCGAGCCTCGGTAGTTTTATCGCGGATTGCTTGCTCCAATAAGGAGAAGTGATAATTTAGGAGCGTGTCCATAGCAGCGTTCTGTCCGAAAAAGGGGTAATTCAGGAGCGAGTGGTACTTACCCCCACCGCTGGTAGTACTATCAGCAGCCCTCGATGGCGCGCCACTCCTTGGTTCAGCTCCTGCGACGAGCTTCGCCAGCGTTTCGCAGCCCGTCGCCAGCTCTTCGCAACCTTTCGCCACGCCACCTCAATCATTCGCCATCATCCAACCCCCAACCGCTGTCCTCCGCCCCGTATCATTCCTCTTCGTCCTCCCCTTCTCCAGCTTCCTGCTCCGTTTTCTCCCCTACCTCCTCCGCTTTCTCCGCCGCGTCCCCCTCAACGTTCGCCGCGTCTCCCGCGGCCGCCTCGTCGCCACCAGACGGCGCGGTCGACGCGTCCACGGCAGGGGCGCACGCGTCCATCACCTCCTCGCATGGCCTCACGCCCCACCAACTCGATTTCCGCGCCTTGGCTCAGGTGAACACGCGTGGAGTCAGGTGAGAACTGGTTTTCCGCTGTTGTTCAATCTCCAAGGTAGAGCAGTCTACGCGTCCACGGGGGGGGGCACACGCGTCCATTACCTCCTCGCACGGCCTCACGCCGCACCAACTCGATTTCCGCGCCCTGGCTCAGGTGAACCTCGCCGCCTTCGCAATGCCTCAGGTTAGCTTGTGTGGTCCTCAGGTACCTCAGTGGTTCAGGTGCCTCAGGTGGTTCAGGTGCCTCAGGTGGTTCAGGTGCCTCAGGTGGTTCAGGTGCCCCAGGTGGTTCAGGTGCCTCAGGTGGTTCAGGTGCCTCAGGTGGTTCAGGTGGTTCAGGTGCTGCAGGTGGTGCAGGTGGCCCAGGCGGCTCTAGAGTTTGCATGAACTGGCTCAGAGGAGGTGTTTTTTGAGAAATCTCCAAAAACACATGCTCAGAAAAGCAGTTTATTTCCCAGCTATCGCCCCCTCGCTCCGTGCCCCCTGGTTCCCACTTCCCTCTTTCCCACCCCCTGCACTTCTTTCCCTCCTCCCCCACAACCTTCCACCTCCGCCCCTTGTCCTCCTTCTCTCATTCCCTTCCTCTGCAAGCAGGACTTTGCAGCCAATGAGCTGCTGCCACGTGCAGCAGAGTGGGACGCGCGGAAGCACTTCCCGGTGGACGTGCTCAGAAAGGCAGCAGGGCTGGGCTTCGCTGCTCTCTTTGTCAAAGAAGACGTGGGGGGGTCAGGGTGAGTGGTGTTGCTGGGTGAGGTGGGGTGAGGTGGGTTGAGGTGGGGTTAGGTGGGGTGAGGTGGGGTGAGTGGTCCAGTTCTCAGCACGCCGCACATCAGCAGCGCTGCTTCCCAGTGGATGTGCTGCGCAAGGCAGCAGGGCTGGGCTTTGCTGCCCTTGTGAAAGAAGACGTGGGGGGGTCAGGGTGAGTGGTGGTGGTGGGTGGCTGGTATAAACTGCATCAGTGTTTGCAAGTATTACTGCACCGCTCACCAGCAGAAGCACTTCCCAGTGGACGTGCTGCGCAAGGCGGCAGGGCTGGGCTTCGCTGCTCTCTTTGTCAAGGAAGACGTGGGGGGGTCCGGGTGAGTCGGTTGAGCAGTATTTGGATCACTGGGAGCGATATCGCTTGCATCAGGGTCGCTTTTGAGTCGACTCAAAAGTCACCTCAAAAGTCTTTTGAGTCGACTCAAAAGTCAGCGGTATTTGGATCACTGGGAGTGATTGCTTCACAGGGTCGGGGTGAGTTGAGCTGCGTTGGGTTCACGTGCCATGCTCGCTGCACGGCTGTGAAATGTCTGCCACATGTCACACAGCCCTCACTCTTGCCACCTGCCACGTGTCATGAGCAGGTTGGGCCGGGCTGACGGGGCGGTGGTGTTTGAGGCATTGGCGCATGCTGACGTCAGCACGACGGCGTACCTGACGATCCACAACATGAATGCGAGCATCATCGACAGGTGGGGGACGGGTTTGATGACGTGGCAGGAATGGGCTGACGTGTCAGGAATGGGCTGACGTGGCAGGTTTGGGCGTGATGATTGTTCAGGGATGTGTATGTACGGGATGGTACGAGTGTATTTTTCTCTGGCATTTGTATGTATGCTCACCCATTTTCTCTGGCATGTGTGTGAATCAAACAGGTTCGGTTCGGAGGAGCAGCGGCACAAGAGGTTACCAGCGCTGGCAACAATGGTGGGTGTTTGGCATCGCATTCCACCGCATTTCAACGCATTGCGTTGCACTGTATCGCCATTCCATTCCTTCATTAACACCAGCATCCCATGCACTTGTTCTCTCCCTCCCTCCCTCGTCTGGTGTGGCAGGATCTGCTCTCCTCCTACTGCCTCACGGAGCCTGGCAGTGGCAGTGACGCAGCTGCACTCAAGGTGAGACATGGGGACTGCGTGGTATGGCATGGTATGGTTCGGTATGGTACGGTATGGCATCTCATGGGCAGGACCTGCTCTCTTCCTACTGCCTCACGGAGCCTGGCAGCGGCAGTGACGCTGCTGCACTCAAGGTGAGATGAGAGATGGTGGCCGGGTGGCATGGTGTGGTGCGGTATGGCATGGTATGGTACGGTATGGCATCTCATAGGCAGGACCTTCTCTCCTCCTACTGCCTCACAGAGCCTGGCAGTGGCAGTGACGCTGCTGCTCTTAAGGTGAGGTGGTTTGGCATGGTATGGCATGTCACGGCATGGCACGGTGTGACATTGGCATGGCATGGCATGGCATGGCATGGCAACATACCATGATGCCAGTTGGCTCAAGATGCGTTCATGTGTCTCTGTGACTTCCCCACTGTGTGTAAGCGCTTTCTACTCTCTTTCTTTTTTTTAGGCGCCTCAATAGTCGTCTCTGTGACATCTCCACCTGTTGTAAGCGCTTTCTTCTCTCTTTCCTCTTTTTTTTTTCCTTCTTTCTCCTTGGTAATGCTATTGAACCCACTTCCACCACTACAGACCACGGCAAGGCAGGCCACTGGCTCCACGGATTACATTCTGAATGGATCCAAGGTACCGCTTTCCCTACCTCCCTGCCTGTCTGCCTCCCTGTCCCCCTGCTTCCAACTCTCAACTGAACCTCCTTTCTCACTTACTTTCTCACCTCCGTTCTCACCCCTTGTCTCACGCCTTGTCTCACGCCTTGTCTCACGCCTTGTCTCACCTCTTGTCTCACGCCTTGTCTCACCTCTTGTCTCACGCCTTGTCTCACCTCTTGTCTCACCCCTTGTCTTACCTCTTCTTGTCTCACGCCTTGTCTCACCTCTTGTCTCACCCCTTGTCTTACCTCTTCTTGTCTCACCCCTTGTCTCACCTCTTGCCTACCTTCTCTCTGATCCCACAGGCGTTCATCAGTGGAGCAACGGCGGCTGATGTGTATGTGGTGATGGCTCGGACAGACGGAGAGGGGCCCAAGGGAATATCGTGCTTCCTGGTGGAGAAGGTGGGTGCTGAGGGGCTAGAAGAGGTGGTGTGTGTAGCTTGAGGCGACGTCTCGAAAGGTGTATGTGGTGATGGCTCGCACAGATGGGGAGGGGCCCAAAGGAATATCATGCTTTCTGGTGGAGAAGGTAGGAGTGCTGAGGAACTAGAATGGGTGGTGTGGGGTAGACAGGCGTGGTGGTGATGGCACGCACAGACGGAGAGGGGCCCAAGGGGATATCATGCTTCCTGGTGGAGGAGGTGGGTGCTGAGGGGTTAGAAGGGGTAATGTGGGGTAGAAAGGCGTGGTGGTGATGGCACGCACAGACGGGGAGGGGCCCAAGGGGATATCGTGCTTCCTGGTGGAGAAGGCATGGGGCTATGGGATGGGGTAGTTTGAGATGTTCTGAAAGGAGTGCAGCTGATGTGTATGTGGTGATGGCACGCACAGACGGAGAGGGGCCCAAGGGAATATCATGCTTTCTGGTGGAGAAGGTAGGAAGGAGTGTGCGGGTGGCAGGAGAGGGACGCCTTAAAACGATTGCAGCTGATGTGTATGTGGTGATGGCACGGACAGACGGAGAGGGGCCTAAGGGGATATCATGCTTCCTGGTGGAGAAGGTGAGTGCTGAGGGGTTAGAAGGTGTAATGTGGGGTAGAAAGGCGTGGTGGTGATGGCTTGGACAGACGGAGAGGGGCCTAAGGGAATGTCATGCTTCCTGGTGGAGAAGTTGAGGGGGGGGTACGTGGAGGGGAAAAAGCGGGTGTCCTGTTTTTGTGTGCATTCAGGCACCCAACCCCACGGCATGAATGTATTGAGGCGCCCCGGAAGTTGTCTTTTGGGGTGGTTCAATAGCGCTGAAGAACCCACCACACATCATAAACACATGTAGATATGCTCATGGTTGTTGTTCAACCAGATGTATCACTCCTCCATGCCCATTCCCATGCCCATGTGGGTTTTTATGGTGGTTGTTTGTGTGCGCACAGGGCATGTCTGGATTATCATTTGGGCAGCTGGAGAAGAAGCTCGGATGGAACTCACAACCCACTGCTGCGGTGAGTCAGACCCAGTTGGTTACTGATGCACCACTCTGCACCACACCGCACCGCACTGCACCACACCTCACATAGCCCACTGCTGGGCTATCAATTGGGCAGCTGGAGAAGAAGCTCGGGTGGAACTCACAGCCCACTGCTGCGGTGAGTCAGACTCTGCTGGTTACTGATGCACCACACCGCACCGCACTGCACCTCACCTCACCTCACCTCACCTCACCTCACCTCATCGCACCACACCTCACATAGCCCACTGCTGGGCTATCATTCGGGCAGCTGGAGAAGAAACTCGGGTCGAACTCAGAATCCACTGCTGCGGTGAGTAGGGCCCAGTTGGTTACTGGTGCACCGCACCTCACCGCACCTCACCGCACCTCGTCGCACCTCACCTCACCTCATTACCTTGTGAGGACGTGACTTGTGAGGGTACCAACAATGTTTGAGTCGGATGAATCAACCCTCTTTTTTACCTTAGGCCCTGTGCACCCCGTCTTCTCCTTTCATTCCCATCTTTGTCTCCTTATCAGGTCATTTTGGAGGATGTGAAGCTCCCAGCACGTTCGAGTCAACTCAAAGGTCACTCCTTCTCTGCAAATTTCCTTTTCCCTTTGTCCCTTTGTCTCCTTATCAGGTCATCCTGGAAGACGTGAGGGTCCCAGCAGCCAACCTTATTGGGGGAAGGGGCAACGGCTTCCGAATAGAAATGGCAGGTCATGGCAGCGGTTCTCTGCATTTCCTTGTCTCTTTCTCCCCTCATCAGGTCATTCTGGAAGACGTGAGAGTGCCGGCAGCAAACCTTATCGGGGGGAGGGGCAACGGCTTTCGAATAGCAATGACTGGGCTGGATGGGGGGAGGGTCAATATTGGCGCATGCAGGTGGGTGGGTCCTTCTCTTCACCGTGCCTCACCTCGCCTCATTGCACACCACCTTTATCTCCCTCATCTCTTGATCTGTCACTGTCAGTTCGTCTGTGAAACGTCTGGGACTATCATCCGTCTTTCCCTTTCGTTTGTCACCATTTTCTAGGTTCCAAACAAATGGTTTCTACTCCTCCCCTCCCTCTCTCTCCTCTCCCCCGTTCTGTGCAGTGTGGGAGGGGCACAGTTTTGTCTCGAGTATGCTCAGCAGTATGCAACGGACAGGAAACAGGTACGCTTGCTTGCACCACCCATCTTCATCCTCATTTTCCTGTCACCGCCCCTCTTCCTCTTTTTCCTCCCACCACTCCCCTTCCCCTCCCCCTTCCTGCCTCGTCTCCTCTTTCCTTTCCCCACACATGGTTTGGCAAGCCAATGGCATCCTTCCAGAACACGCAGTTTCAGCTCCTCTCTTCTGTTTTTGAGGCGCCTCAAAATCACAACCCTCCACAACACGCAGTTTCAGCTCTTCTCTCTTCTGCTTTTGAGAAGCTTAGAAAATCACATCCTTCCAGAACATGCAGTCCAGCTAGACGCGCTGCTGTTAGTGGGGAACCCTCCTCTTTTCTGTTTCCCTTTTTTTTTTCCATTGTGCAGTTCGGCAAGCCAATCACATCCTTTCAGAACACGCAGTTTCAACTGGCCGACATGGCAACAGCAGTGGAGGCATCTCGCCTGATGGTTCGCAATGCTGCCACTGCCATTGATGTCAAAGCACCCTGGGCGACAACAGCCGCTGCCATGGCTAAAAGGTGAGTTCCGGGTGAGTTCCGGGTGGGTGCTGGGTGGGTGCCGGGTGGGCGTGGAATCGGCAACCCTCTGAGTGGCAACAGCAGTGGAGGCATCTCGCCTCATGGTTCGCAGTGCTGCCACTGCCATTGATGTGAAAGCTCCCTGGGCCACCACAGCTGCTGCCATGGCTAAGAGGTACGTTCTTGGTGGGTGTGAATCAGCACCCTCCGTGTGTGAACAGCGCCCCCTGAGTGTTGACTCAGCTTCCTTTGAGTGGCAGTGGAGGCATCTCGTCTGATGGTTCGCAGTGCTGCCACCGCTATCGATGTGAAGGCACCCTGGGCCACCACAGGCGCTGCCATGGCCAAGAGGTGGGTGCTGGGTGGGAGTGGACTCGGCACTCTGTGAGTAAAATCAGCACCCCCTGGTGGTAACACAGCAGTGGAGGCATCTCGCCTGATGGTTCACAGCGCTGCCACTGCCATTGATGTGAAAGTGCACTGGGCCACCACAGCCGCTGCCATGGCTAAGAGGTGTGTGTGTTCTTGCCCGTGTATCGAGTCAACATAGAAAAAGTGCAGTGACGTGGCAACAGCAGTGGAGGCATCTCGCCTCATGGTTCGCAAAACTGCCGCTGCCATTGATGTCAAAGCACCCTGGGCTACCACAGCTGCTGCCATGGCCAAGAGGTGGTGAGTGCTGGGTGGGCGTGCAAGTGGCACACTGTGGTTCGGTTCGTCTCGCCTCCTGGTTATCTTTGCAGTGCTGCCACTGCCATCGGTGTTGAAGCATCCCGCGCCACCATAGCTGCTGCCATGCATAAGAGGTGAGAAAAAAAAAGGGACGTGGAACGAGCTGTTTACGAAACTCAACTATTTTCCTCCCCTCGGCACTCTCCTTTCCCCACCCGCCGTCTTCTCCTCGGTCATCCCCGCAATACCCCTCTCTCTCTCTCTATCTCTGTTTCCCCAAGTGTCTATTTTTCAACACCTTCCTGTGTCTCTCCATTTCCTCGCTCAGGTTTGCGACGGATAATTGTTACCAGGTGGCCAATCAGGCGTTACAGATGCTCGGAGGCTATGGGTTTCTGCAAGACTACCCCGTACGTTGCTTTCCTCCCCACACCTGCCTCTGTACCTGGGTGTGTTTATGCTCTTTTGCTCTTGTTGTTGGGTCATCACCTTCTAAGCTTCCGAAAGGTAAATATCATGTACTCATGTGTACATGTTCATAGGTTCACACATCGGTTTTTCCCAACTTTCCGTCACATTTCAATCTAACGCATCATTACATGTGTTCAGGTGGAGCGATACGTGAGGGATCTTCGAGTGCACACCATTTTAGAGGGTACAAACGAGATAATGCGCCTCATCATAGCACGACGCCTTCTACAACCATGACACTGCCATGTTATTGCAGCTCCTGTATATATTGCTGCATGTACCATGTGTTGGACTGTGGAATATGAATGTCCTTTCTCTTTCCTCCTACCATGTACATATGACATTCTGTCAGCCAATATTGTGTGTGTGTGTGTTTTTTGTTCGGTAGAACTGGCTGGGCTGTTCTTTACGTTCCATTACTGTATCGCGTTACTGTAATTCGAATTAATTAAATTGAATGCATGGGTGGGGTCGAGAAAAACTGCGGTGCTCTTTGGCTGGAATGTATGCCACACCGCATCCACTCTAGGGGAGTGTCCCCTCATCCACACGTAGAGGCAGCCCAATCTGTGCATTGCGATTGGAGAAAACAACTTTATATCCGTCCTCATGTCAGTCCTGAGTCAGCATTGCAAGTCATTAGCCGACATCTGTACGACCCGCCTTGAATTGCTTTGCATGTGAGATCGCATTCGTGGAGTAGCCACAATCCGAACTGGAAACAAAGATAGCCTGTGTGACCAAAACATGACCAATCCGTATTTGCATTTGTTTTTTGCCAGATTTCACTCACCATACGACTGCCGAAATTTTGCATCCATGTAATGTAAAAGCAGCTACAACAAATAAGTTTCAAATCTGACAATAAGATACACGCGATGTTTTGTAGACTAGTGAAGGCACTACGGTTGGTTTCAAGGCGCTGAGTGTTCAAAATCAGCCCGCCTTTTAGAAAGGAAAGAAGCCTTATCCGTAGACCCCGTTTTCAGAAAACGGCAACGGTACCACCCACACAAGTGTCTCCTCCGAATACAATCTGCTGGTATGACTTGGTGTCACTGTGGTGTGCCTGCCTTGCTGCTTGGGTGGGGTCGTTGGGCGGTGGGTGTGTGCGGGGTGGAGCGGGGTGGAGTGGAGGTGAGGCAAGGAAGGGCGGTGTCCGAGCACACATGGCGGTGGGCTGTGTTTGTTCGTTTGGTGAGCCTTGTGTGTGGGTCGATGCTCAGCCTATCACAAAAATTTGCTCCTCAATTAGAAGATCAGTCACTCGCGAACGTTTTGCCTGTGAGTGGTGATTGTGCTGATTTCGGGGTACAGTCACCAAGTCGCGGAAGAAAACATCTACAGTTCATAAACAACAACGGCTGCCTGTCATCAGAATTGTTTACCTGGTTACGAACTTAAACCCCTAGACTCGTTTCACATTCCAATTTCATTTTACAATCACAATTTTGCCCGTGGCGACAAGGGCGAATGTGGCGAAATCCACAAAACTCGTTTCACTCACATGCCGCCCGCCTACCTGGTGTTCTTGAAATGAGCACCGACTGTATAGCGAAGCGGGGAATGGCGGTGGCGCAGCATTCGTTCGGATGCCATTGGGATCTGATCGAGTTAGTGTAGTGTAGACACCGCTATAGTGCGGCTCGTTCGCCGTAGATGATCTCTCGGTGTCCCGTGGAATGACGAAGGGGCAGAATGCGTGTGTGGCTGTGAGGCATTGGCCCCGCGCTGGCACGGTCCTTAGAATGCTGGGGACAGCCAATCTCGCACGTGGTCGGATGAAGCCTATTGCCGCCTCACTCCAGAATCTAAAATAGGTGTGGCCCCAGTGATACACATTCCGCATCGCTCCAGCGCATGGTGTCCGCATCTGCCGCTGCCAGTGCGACATGCGCCGCCATGGCTACACGATTTGGATGTTAGGAGCTAGCAACTGAAAAGTGCGGTGAAGAGACGCACCGCTGTTTTTGTTTTTTTTTTTTTTCCCCTGCAGTAGCAAATTTGTCGCGTCGCGCTGCTAGTCCCGCTAGTGGACTTCATACACACTATTTCCACTCTGTTGGGAGCCGTCTCGGGGAAATCTCAGAACAGAATGCTCTTATCTGCGTAATCTGCACTGGAAAGTCAACGAGTCTTTTTCCCTTGAAACTCTCGCATCAGCGCCACGGTAATATTCTCACCACCAAACTGCCGATTAGGATTTGGAGTATCAATATTTGAGGCCTCCATACGACCTCGGCCCTGATATGTGGGGGCGCCACAACAGGCTCTGATTTCTCTCTCTGTAGAACGAGTAGCTCGTCTGTGATTGTAACGAATCGCTGGGGCGCTGTACGAATAGTTAAGTCTGTCAGCGGATTGAATGGGAGTCCACGGGAGTAGAGCAAGCACACGAAACAGCTCACAGAACAGCCCACTATTAGTACGGACCCAGTCCGCGCCTTAGCACAAAGCTCGCTTCCAAGCGGTTTGCGTACTTGTGTCTTTTTGGTTCTGAAAATATATACGTCTGCTAATACACGTGTCAGGATTCAGGCGTCCGTCTCCGTATCACGGCGGGTTGCCTATCGTTGCTCCGGAACCTTCGCTTCCGCGGCGAAGCGCGCGAAGTATTGAAAGCTGCGACGGGCATTAGGAGTCGCATCTCAGTACACTGCTGACGCCAAGCTTCGTCGCTAAATAAGGTGGCATCACCGCCAGTGAGCTTTGCGACCTGCGCGGCGACAGATGCGAGGCGGCGCGACGCACGCGGCGGCGACAGACGTGGGGCGCGACGCACGCAGCGACGACAGACGCGTTTCGGCGTTTACCTGAGAACGGAGGCTAGCAGCTCAAGCGGGCGGCGCGCAAGTTTCTGGTGATTTTTTTTGGAGTCCAAATTGCTGAGCGGTTCGGCCAACGGCTCGATTTCCACCACCACGGCTCAACCCTGACGGAATGTCCCCTGCTGCCACCACCGTCGCTGCCACAGCCGTCGGTGCCACCCCTCATACTTCTCAGTTTGGTGCTTCTTCTACTACTACTAGTGAATGTAACGGAGCTGTTGTACGCGTTAGAAGCAGTCCGTTTTTGCCAGATTATTGCCTTGATGACGCTTCGTCCGAGGCGTCCCTTTCTGGTTCTTTTTCCTCCGCCGGCGGCGGCGGCGGCGGCGCTTTGAACAGTAATACCCCCGTTAGTATCACGTTTCGGCGCCTTCCGTCGTATCGAAGTCGATTAAGCCTCGATAATGGCAGCGCGACGAGCGCAACAAGCGCTGCGAGTTCGTTATTCCCGGGTGCGGCCTCTGCTGGCGACGGCTCGCGATCCTTCTTTTCCCCGTCGCACACTCGCGAGTCCATTCGCGTGGACCGCGATTTGCGACTGTCGCGAGTCAGCAGCGACGCGGCGTACGCGGCGAAGCTGGCAGCATCGGGCAAAATCATCGGCGAGGGTTACCACACAGGAGGAAACGAGGCCGCATCGGGGACGGGAGACCTACTAAGCCCAGATCCAATCAGACGCCACGGAAATGCAACGATTTCCGCGGCGGGAGGAGGAAATGTCAGTCTAGGGTTTGCTACAGAAGGCAACGCGGCTAATTTCAGCTCAAACCGTCTGAGCAGGCTTGAGGAAGCGGGGTTTGCGGCGGAACTGGCGGCGCCGTCGGCGGGAAACTACGCGGGCGGCGCGACGCGCCTCTTGCGCCAGGCGGAAAGCATGAAAGCGCGCCGAGCTGCGTACGACTACTTTTTTCACGACCCTTCCGCCGCCCTGCCCGTTGACTCGTCAAAATCACGCGCCGCCGCGCTGCCGGCGTGGGACTCCTTCAACCCGCTTTTCTCCGGCCGCGAATGGCGGCTCTACGCCGCGTCCGACGACTTTAGCAACGGCGGCGGCGGCGGCGGCGGCGGTGGAATGTGACGGCGCTCCATGCTGCAGTGGGACTGACGAGATGAGGGCGCGTTCAAGCGACTGGCGCAGGGGCTGGGGGAGTTCCGCGGAAAGACATGGTTACAGTGAGGATTGTCGAGAGGACGAGTCATCAGGATACGGCATGTTTTCATCTCGCAACGGGAGGAGCAGCCCGTTGTTCTTCTCCCCTCCCCGCCGGCGCGAGAGCAGCGCGTGCGCTCCGCGAGACAGCAGCGTGAGTGCTCTTCGCGATACTGAGAACTCCGCCAAGCCCTTCTCCTCCCCTCCGCGCCACAAAGCAAGCGGTTCCCTGTGCGTCCCTGCGGAGCCCTGCTGCTTCCCCCCTCCGTGCCAATCTTCCGCCGGGACAGCAAGTGAAGAGTCTATATCGACACTTTCTGAGCCGTCTCAAAAAGGGACCTACTCCTTCCCTCCTCCGCGCCAATCCCCTGCCGGGACAGCGAGTGAAGAGTCTTCATTAATGAGCCACAGGGGGTGTAGCAGCAGCTCTGTCGTCTCCCCTCTGCATCGCCGCAGCAGCAGCTCACCACCTCTGCCGCTGCACCAGGTTCCGGTGCTGCCGTTGAAGCTTATACCGAATCGCCTGTACTCGTTTGAAGCCTCTGAGCCCCGCAAGTTCCCTGACATGACCTCTCGTGGTAACTGCGCACCTGCTTTTGAAGCAGCAGCAGCACCCGGACCTGCTTCCGAAGCTGCATCCGAGCCTGCATTCAAAGCCGCTGGTTGTGTGAATGAGCCTGCTGTTTGTCGAAGCAGCCCTGTGCTTGCTGGCTTTGCCACTACACTTACATCTAATCAGCCCGGGAACAAAAACACTCCCGTTGGCACTGCCGCTGGCACTGCCACTACCACTGGCGCTAGCACTTCTGCTGCCGCTGGTGCCGCCCCTGCCGCTAGTGCCGCCGCTGTCAATGCAGCTACTGCTCCTCCTCCTGACCTGTACCCTCGGGAACGAGCGCGTGCGCAATCCTGTAGCTTCATTGCTGATATCCCCTTCCAGCCGTTCTTTTCTGGTGGCTCCACACCCATTAGCGGTCTTAGTGGGCCTATTCCCTGGTCCGCTTCCTGTGTTTCTGACGGGGCTATGGCAGTGCAAGACGGCAGCGTTACCAGCAACGGCAGCAGCAGCACTCGTGATGGCAGTGGCATCGGTATTGGTATTGGTGGTGTTGGAAGAAAGAGTAGCGACCGAAGGCGAGGGCTCAGCACGCAGGGCGGCAATGCTAGTAAGAGCGGGAATGTCAAGAGTAATAACATTGACCGAGGAAACAGCCGGAGCAGCAGCAGCAGGAGGAAGAGTGGAAGTAGGAACAGCAGCA